ACATGGAATGTGCAGCTCCATTTGGGACTGCTAAAAAAGGCAAGGCAGCCCAAGTGGAGGAGGTGCAGCCAATGGCGTCTGACCTGTCCAGTTGCTTGCTGTAAAATAAGGGGGTGGAAGAGGAGGAGGGGAGGGGTGACATAACGCTGCTTTCCTTCCCTCCAGCACAGCTCCACATGCTGCTCCCCCAGCGACACCACCACCTCCACCACACAGCCTGTTTAGCAGCAGCTTGTGATAAGAGCGCATATCTGAGGAAATTAGCTTTCCCTTATCTCTGTGATTCTCTCCTGTCACATACGTCAAGCCCCGGCCCTGCCCTTACAACAGCAGGAGGACAGAAGAACTTTATCTGTTCAAGTGCAGTTTGACACTGGACTAATTATCAAATCCCCTTCATTTCTCCATGGGAACCAATTCAAGTGATGCGTGCAGTATGCTGAATTAAGAGGCTGTGGGATGTGTCGCAGAATGTCCAAAAAGTTGTTGGACGGGGCGTTTTGCTTTGCAACATCGCAAAGACGATGTGATCTTTGCTAATGAGCAGGGCAAGAAATAGAGCAGGATTACAGCAGCAGCAATAGCACTGATAGCCAGAGCAGGGAAGAGAAGAGAGGGATGGAGAGAACGAGAGGGAGGGAAGAGGAGGGGAAACCCAGAGGAGACTGATACTGAGAAATCTATCCAAAGCTGGATCCTCTGAGCAAACATGAGTTGTGGGATTTGCCAACCCCTTCCAAAAATAACCCCAAAGCAATAAAACATCTGTACTGTAGTCACGTCTTATATTAAGAAGCAGGCACAGAAACCACACAAATCCCAAGATCGGTTTGAGGATGCTACTCTTCTTTTAGGTCATTGTATTGTTTATGGTGTAACCACTTCTTTTCATTCACTTCTAAATCAGACCTTACATTTCCCAGAATGCATTATGCAGCCCTTAGAGAGCAGTCTTGAGCTGCTGTTGGTTGTGTGTACTTAATGAGAGCTGTGAGAGCAATAGCAATAGAAAAGCTGGGGTGTTTTCAGTCACGCACCCTAAACTTAATGTTTTATTATCTTAACACTGCAGTTAGGTCGATAAAGAGGCTTTCAATGGAAAAATACACAGTACATGTCGAATGAGGTTTATAGGGAAGAAGCCCGGACTCTTCATTCTGACATCTGTCATATTGCAAGTTTTCACTACTAAACTCTGGTGCAATGACTCCAAGAATCACAGACGAGATATGCATTACACCAATCTGCTGATGATGTTATGATAATAATGTGAAACTTTGACAATCACACAAAGCTATAAACTATGAGAACAACAGCTGTAGGGTGATACAAAGAATGATTCTCAAACGGCACGACCCATTACACACCCTCAAATGTATTAGAAACTCATTTTGGTGAATATTACAGGATTTATTTGATAGAATTTGCAAAGCAGCCACCATTTTCTCCACACTGAAGTTCAGAAATTAAAGTGGACCTATCATGCTATATTTGAACAATATATTGTAGGGCCATAACTATATAAAGTATATAAATATAGTTCTTTTTTCAAAATACCAAAAAGATCCTGCATTTTAGCCATGCCTCATTTCGCTCCATTTGCTCTTTCCAGCGCTGTTTTTGCAGGGGGCTGATTCTGTGAGCTGCAGCTGACCACGCCCCCCTGCAGGAGAGGGGAGCGTGCTCTGAGATCAGCTGCTGGGCTGCAGCGGGGAGAAGAGGGGGAGAAAAAGAGATCTCCATCCTCCGTGTTTTATTCTTATAGAAGTAAGAAGAGAAGTAACGGGGCAGAAACCCTCCTTTTTACGCAGCGGTCCAGACATAGACATCAAACGGCGACACATATTCAGTGTGCAGTTACTTTGGCATTCGGGCAGGGATATCTAGATACTTTCCAAGGTTTGACATCATGAATTGTGCTACTTTTAAAGCAAGCAACGATGTTTTCAAATCTGTAATCAAAAAGCTCCTCAAAAACACTATCGAAGCAGTTCCTGCCGTTGCTACGTTAGTTCAAACAGTAACGGATTTTCTTAGCGGATGCATGTCAATTTAAATCAATACATAAAACTATTTTTTAAATCAATAAAATCATTTTCTAAATCCATAAAAGCATTTAAATTAATATTGGGAGTCATGTCGTTACTTTGTCGAGAATGTGGCTATGTAATAAGCGGGATAATGTGCACAGTGCATAATGTGCCTTCATGCCGATCTAGATCCCTCCGCTTCGCGTCGGGCTCCTGATCAGCCTGTCGGTGTTCTTTTCCCCATAATGACCGTGTCGCTGCACATTATCCCTTACATATGATTATATAGAGTCATTATTCATTTGTTTTAAAGCAGGAGGCGCAAAAGCTTGCCTCGGGGAGGGAGAAAAAGAGCCACAGCGGAGAATAAACAGAAAGGCAACCATGGCAACCATGCAAGGGAAGTCTTCTTCGCTGCTTTTGTGGCAGACTACAGCGCCACTTACAGGCCTGGCATATGTACTACAGCGTCTCCAGCGCTTTCGAGCAGCAATGGCCGGCCGTGGCCCAACCTCTCATTCCCCTGATAGGTGGAGAGTTGACCAATAGCCGTAGCGCCACCGTCCTGACGTCAGGACAGTGTTCAAATCTGGATCAGTCTGTATCAGATCCTTTTTTAGAGATTTGGGTATGGAGGAAAATAGAGAGGGTTGTGTTTTCTGACACTTGGTGAGTTCCCTGGAACACCGGGGACACATATTCATGTATGAAAGACGTACTAAAGTGCATTTTGCATGATAGGTCACCTTTAACTATGGATCCCATGTTGAACTCTGCTATATATAATTGCTTTTGTCTTGAGGTGACCCATACATTATGTTACATTTTGAACATTGGGGATGTTGGGCTTCTATTTTGTTCATCCATCACCAAAACTAAAAGCCATTCAGTCACTGTTGGCTAATGACTCAGTGTCACAGCAATTACTTTAACAAAATATTGAATTATTGATCACTATGTGCTGGCAAGTGTCACACTGTAATGCAGATACCCCGTGTTTAAGTCAAGTCAGTTAGATTTTTTTCCCCCCAATAATTCTTACTGTGATCAGTAAGAATTATCGGGGGGGAAAAAGATCTAACTCCAATACCAGTGATTGGGCCATTAGAAATTAGCATTTTACAATACCAATTGCTGTTGGTATTTTAAAGTCTTATCTCAGGATGTTTCCTTTAATCTAGCAGGAGTAATATAAAAGTGTGTGTGGGGTGATTTTAGGAGCATTGCTTGCATCACCAAATGTCTTATATCTTAAGCCTCTTTCTTTTGCTCCTCCAGAATGTCCTCCACACTAACCCCCCCCCCCCCCAACCAGCCATTGCAGACTCTGTTCTGTTTAGACTAGCGTGGTCTGTATGTATGACATTCTGTTCCCTTGATAAATAGCGTCAAGACGCTGCAGAGGTGCACGCAGCGACCACAAATCAGACCGACTGCACAGAAAACATGGCCTCCTTATCCACCTGCTGCCTTATCGCGGTGCTGATCCTGACATCATGGATCGCAATGACAACATTTCTTAGAGAGTTCAAGTGTGAACAGATTTCCCAGGGCCGATCACACACTCATAACTGCAGCGGGGGTCAGAGGTCAAAGCGCCACTGACAGACGTCACATGAAGCAGAACATAAAATATCGCTCAAATGTTTCCATTCCACTCGCTCATATCTACATCCTTACCTCCTCTCCATATCACTAAATGAGTGGGGGGGGGAATTACAGGACTCCAAAGACAGCTGCAGCTTATAAGGAATGTGAGGGGCCTCAGCCAAGAGAGCAGGCAGGGAAACCATACCATATATGGCAACAGAGGCAGAAACTAATTGTTATCAATGAGCAAAGTGGGCATGAGAGTGGTCAAACATGCAACGGTTGACCTCCCATCTGTGGCGGTGTATGGTACGCGTTGGTTAGCGCCTTGTGAAAACACCACGCAGGCAATCGGGCCGAGACGTGTGTGTCTTCAAAGGGGCCGTACTCAAGCCGTGTAAACAGCTGAGGGAATCTCAAAGGTGTGTGGACAGTCAAGTGTGTCCGAGGATGATTATCGCTAGGCTTCAAAAACTCAAAAGAGGTTTAAGAACACTTGCAGCAGTAATGCAGCAGGACGCAGGGACGTGACCTGCAGCTCTTCATGAGGGATGAGGAGAGGTCACACAGAATATCTGAGGATAAGATTTCAGAGTAGAAGTTCATCTTGTGTCTTTCAGTTTTAAGTTGGAAAACTGCACAAAGTGTAATTTCCCAATGATTTCAAAAAAAGTTACAATCCTAGCATTTCATCCATGAACACAAGACAGCTCCACCCCACAACCAAAGATAAACACCTACGGTCGTCTGTATAGCAGGCTGCGTGTGTATCACCCTAACACAACCCAGACCTGCAGTGATTTATCTTCAGCAGTTTTACGAGGCTTTCCTGGATGAGAGGTCACGAAGGTAACGTGTAGTGAGTTGGATAATACTCTCCATCTCATCTGGCTCTCCTTCCCTTTACGGCCCTTTGAAGGACGACCAAGACTTTTTGCTTTAATTAAAAAAGGACTCGGTGCTAGAGCCACACAGCCAGCCCAAAACAGAGGCCTCACTGAGGTGTAACAGGCAAAAGTTCAGAAGTGTGTTTACAATAGGACAACGATTATTTTCCATTGCTGGGGTTGATTGATTTGCTCACCTCGTGTGCTTGTCTAGCCTTTTCTGGAGAGATTTCCCACTATATCCATTAAGGACTCTCGAGGGTGGTTTATCGTTTTAAAAAATTATCTATTTTGTCATGTCCCCATTTAAAAACAGCCAGTGAGTCAGACACTTTAACGTGAGTACTATTTCTGTGGGGACAGGCACAGAAATGAGTGAATTTATCTATTTCACAGCTGCAGCCTCACTAAAAGAGATGTGTTCTTAATTTTTTTGTCCTGACCACTTGAGGATCGGTCTATAACGGCAGACCTTTCCACTTGTGATTCTAACCTTTGTGTCGCCCATGCTCTCCGACTCAGACACCTGATAGGTGAGATCCGTCTCCTCGAAGCCCGTCGCGCTCATGCGCTGGTCCGTGGAGGGGTCGGAGCGTGGCGGCGAGTCCGGTGAGTTGAGGCACGTTTGGATCAGAGCTTTGCCCGTTTCACTCGTGATCATGGGTTGGAGTTTGCGCGTTGCGAAAGTGTAGACGTGACCCGTTTCACTGGCCACGAGCAGCAGTACCTGGGTTCCCGTCAAGGTGGAGAGTTCATACGCCTGGGAAAGAGAAAGAAGAAGATTAAAGCATGTGGCAGAGAGCAAAGGCCAAATGTCAAGCTAGAAAGAAAGATAGGGTTCACTTAAATGGGGCTTGGGTTACCTTCATCAGTAATCCCTACTGGAAAGGGAATAAAAGAGATTGAAAAGGTGAACCTCTGGAGACAGAAACCCTGGCCAAGAAAACACAAGAATCTAAAAATACAGCTGTAGTGAACTTTGACGTATAGCACAAATGAAGCTAAAATAACACGAGATAAGGCTCCCAGAATAGAGAGTGTGATGTAGCTGAGAGACTGATTGCAGCTGGGGATTGGCTAGAGGGTCGTAGTAAGCCAGTCTTGAAGGAGGACTCAAGGAATCATTCTTAACACCCAGAGGTAGCCGACTGTGAAGCAAACAGCAGTCTGCTGCCTTGCACACACACATTCAAATGTCTCAGTGTAATGCATCGAGCATCGGGAGTGAACTCACGAGAAAGCCTTTTTATCTAAATGAGTAATAAGGGATGTGGAGGATGCCTCTGGTGCTGAGAAGGCACAGTGCCATTAGCGTCACCTTGGTGAGCGCTGTACAGTCGCAGCCGGCTGATAGATGTGCCATTGGTGGAGGAGACGCATCACATTCAAATTAATCGCATTTTATTGGGCTGTTATAATACCATGCATTCACTCCATCATACTCAAACACTGTTCATTGTGGGCCCTATCAGGCCAATTAGTAGGCACGATAAAGCTGATTGTCTTTTGTGTGTTATAATATGATGACGGAGCACAGAAAGGCTAATGATGACTGCTATAGTGGCTCAAAGCTTGTTCCCACTGAGTATTTTAAAACTGTATTAAAGGAGGGGTTTTAATGTGCATGAACTGGAGAGAAGCGTTACAAAGAATTTCCACCCCACTGCCTGTTAATGGCAAGCTACAGGAGCAGGTAATGAACTACACAGCTCCCTCTAGTCACCCTTCTCTCTTCCATGTCCCTGATGAGCTCTGCAGCTACAGGGGGGGGGGGGGGCTCTCCAACAACAGAGCCTGGTGTTTGGCCAACTTCCAGGGCAGGAAGGGGCTAATTTGTCACCTTAACCGTGCGAGGTGGCGGAAAAAGCTAGACCCACATAAATGCTTTAATAACTTTCCTTGCTCTGCTGATTTTCTCATACATATTCAGGAGTTCCAATTAGTCTGGCTGTAATTGGTACCTCTGTCTCCCAACCTAGACGCACACCCTGCCTATATATATATATATATATATATATATATATATATATATATATATCAAATGAAGAACTTAGAAAGGCAAATATGTATGTGTAGTTGTGCATTCAAAAATAGGCTGGTGACTAAAGAGTGACTGAACTGATTCTCGTTGAATCCCCCTCAACAACCTCTGCTGATGTAAGCATGCAAAGTCAAAAGTTGTGGCTTTCCAAAGAAGCCGACAGGAACGCTGGGCTGACCTTAAACAATGAGGTGACTAGTGTGTTGCCAGAAAATGAACAAACATCCATTTAGATCATCTTCTGATTGTCATAAAATAATCCTGGCTTGTTCCAGCTTTGTTTCAGTTTCATATTGCTTTGGACACATAACTTTGGATTTGAGATGTCTTCATGTTTTTAAATTGAATTTGGAACCTTGGACAAATAACGAGAACATTCATTATGGAGGAATCCTGCATTTTGTGAATAATCATCGAGTCTTTACATGAGAAAAAGAAAATGTGCCTGGTTTCTGGAGTCCAATCTTCCAGTTGCTTATATTGTCTGATCAACTTTTCAAAAGCCTCAAAGTATTTCATAAGAGTAATAATATGACACAAAACAAAACAAGCAGAACACCTTTACATCAAGTTGGAGCCAGTGGATGTTTCACCAACAATACATTGCTGATACATTACTCAATAGACATTATGAAAAAGGAAAAAAGCCCAGGTGGAAATGATAACATAATTCAGGGCCTTAATATTTTGAACAACCAACCAATTGGAACGAAATCACAACTTAAGTTACTTTTAGTGCTTCTCTGGTTATGACGAGACAAAATGTGTGCAACAAAAACAGACTATTGAAGATAGTTACAGAAAGAGCAAACATGAAAACGTGCCTTTTACTGGAGCAATATTGGAAAATCAACCACAAATACTGACACAATTTGTATTGTGCCAACATTTACATGCATGCAATCTGAAGCATACATAAGAGAACAAACAGGCACCATGCTTTCAAATGAAACAAGGCTCATCCTAGAAACCAGTTTGAGACCAGTCCACAGTGAATCTTCCCACTCCACCCACCTCTCATTTTGACTGTGATGGTTGACACAGTGTGGGCAACATTTCCAGAAATCTCTATCCACACAGCGTGTCAAATAGTGTTCATGTTTCCAAAAGCCTACATAAAGACACCTCAGTTTCCACGACAACAGTCTGGGAAACATAGAAAAGAGGAGGAATACAGCACAGTACATGCGCCTCAAAGTAACAAATGAACAGTCTTGCATTGTGTTTGTTTAAGGTCATAATTAAAAGTGGCTAGTACAGCCAAACAACTGCTGTGCTCCAGGTCAACAGCTGACCTCGTCTCCAGATCATCTACTCTGATGCCACATTGCAATATTTATCATGGCAGCATTTGTGTCTGAGGAGTGGATTTGCAATACAATTTTGCTTTGGTACATGTAGACTGTATTGGAAGCAATAATGACTAACATGGAGTTCTGACAACAGCTTGTGTGCAAAAACAACTAACACAACTGAAACCAAGATAAGTCTTCACCGGATGATGCTTGTGTCAAAATGCACAGGGCCATGATGCATGCACAGACAGTCCCTGGCTCCTCTCTTCTGTCCCAGTGCTCTTTCACCGTCCTCTGATCCTGCTTCCCTGGGGTTTAGTCAGCTGTTGGCACCTACAGGCCCGCTGCTGTCCTCCACCACATGGCTGCAGCCTGTAAGCAGAGCCCTGCTTCACACTGACAGAGGAACAGCCTGTGTGCACTGAGGCTACTGATGGGAAGCACTTCCAACAGCTATAGGCCTGTGAGTGTGTGTGCAAGTGATAGTTAATCTGGGAATCTGTGTGTGCGAGTGTGTGTCCATGGCATAAATAGAATTGTCATTTGCCCAAGTCTATTTAAAGGCTGTCATGAATGTTCCTACTACCTCACATCCAGTGAGTCACTTTGTTTCACAATTGCTTTTGTCTTTTAGAATACATAAC